TGGATTCGTACCATGGCAGCAATGGGCTCAAGTGTAACAAAAATTATGAAGACGGCACCGGAACAGGCAATGTTTTACTTTGTTGTGCATAGAGTCGCCCTGAGTCGGAACCAATACAACAGCACCTAACAACAACATAAAATGGAATTTAATTGTGATACATGCTACAACATGGATGAACATTGAAAACATTATACCAAGCCACACACAGAAGGAGGAATATTGTATGACTCCACTTAAATGTTGTTGTTAGGTGCTGTCAAGTCAATTCTGATTCATAGTAATGTACAACAGAACAAACCATTACTTGGTCCTGCTAGACACAGTGAGGAACAAAACATAAAGTACTTGTATAGCATTTAACTAGAAGGCAGGCAGACACAGCCTGAAACAACCAGGTGTTCTCTAATGTGGCATGTCCCTAAAGCTTTTTGCAAATGATATGAGGCATACTGCTGATCCCTGAGGGCCACACTTGGACTCTGTTGACTTACGTGACTTTCCTTTATGGGGATTCTTCCTCTATGAGAGGTACTTGAAATGTGGGACTATGTTTAACCTATTATGCTGGTTTTAAATATTCCACTGCTTTTTCTAAAAAAATAAACTATGCATGCAGTCTCAAGACTCAAGGGAGATGGTGATTATGAGCCCTCCCACATAACCCTGGGAGGATTCCCTCTAATCAGACAAGACTGCACACCACCAATCGGGAGAGAAGCTGCCATGAGCAAAGGGTGAAGGTATTATGTGAAATTCGGTAGACATGAAGGAGCTTAGAACACACCGATGTTCCTGCGGTAGTGATGTATTGAAGTTAGGGAGGGCAAAGAACTGCAATAGTTGCAAAAATATTCCCTTGACCTTGGTCCCTGTGGTCTGTACACATTGCTATGTGGACCTACTTATTGATCTTCTGGCCTGGAGCTCCTGATTTCCCTGCCTTCCTGGAAGTGTCTGGTCTCCCACCTTCATTCCCCCCTCAACTGTTTCAATCCCAACCTGCATAAAAAATAAAATTATAGCAAGGGAGCAAATTAAGTATGTATGATGTATGTGGCTGGAGGTGTGGGAGTGAGGGGCCAAAAATAAAAAAAAATTTAAGTACAGAATTCGTGTTCTTGCCTCACTTACAAATTGTCCTGTTACTCTTCTAAGTGTGGCTTCTACTTTTCTGTCTTGGACCTGGCTGGACTGAGGTGGTTATAAGACAGCTCAAATTTCTTTCCAATCTTGCATAAGCAGTGAGTTTCTTGGGGGATGTGGCTGTGACAGTACAGGGCCAACACACAGAGAGGCACGTGTTCATTATGTATGGCTGGAAAAATTATCTGTCTCTAGGGGGACATGTTTCATTGTGCATTAGCTTCTAGCGGCTTCCTTCCTCAGATTTCTCTGCCCACTCTATCACTGTCCTTTTCAGTCTCCTTTCCCACTCCCTGTCTCCCCTCATTCAGTCCAGCTCTGCCCATCAATGTCTCCATCCTTTCTCTGCCACATCTCCGTCTTCCTCTGCACTTTGTTCAATCTTCCACTTGCTGTCCGGGCATTAGTTTTCTGTGTCTGTCTCCCTTACTGTCTCTTGTTCTCTCTAGTGGACTTTCTCCTACTCTGTGTTTCATTCTGTAATATCAGCTTTTTGGGTACCCTAAAGCTAGCAGTAACCTTTTCTTGTTACATTAAAGTCCATAAGCAGCACTTGGTTCATTGATTGATTAGCTCTTATTTAAATTCTACAGAGGAAAAAAAAAATTATGAAGTGAGAGAGCAGAAAATGTGCATCAGGCAAAGGGAGGGGAATAGAAGAAGAAAATGGATTTCCTTCTAAATAAACCAGGTCAGACATTTATGGTTGATAATAGTTTAATCTGGAATAGAAAGTGTTAAGGACCAAGTTTAGGCTTGGCACCTCAGAGACAAAAGCTTCAGGAAGGAATGAGTTGGGTTAAATAAGCCTAAGAAGCTGATGTAGGTAGAATCTCTTCTGCCTGACCCACTAACAAGTGCAAATGGGACATTTTAGAAATGGTTTTTATTGAAATGCTTCTGTGGGGCATAGCCCCTGGAAGGAAGAACTTGGCTCTGAGGCCAGATCTGAGGTGCACTGTAGGGATGTGGACAGAGAGAACATAGGAGTGACCTGGGTCAGGCAGGAGGTGGCAGAGTTGCTGATCAGGGCAGTTCTGGGCGCTGTGTTTGCACTCTCCTCTGGCCCATGATAATTAAAGCTTTCTCAATATGATTCCCTTCAGGAGGCCAGAAATTTAAAACCAAACCAGCAAACAAACAAAAATTGCAGAGATGCTTAGTTATACTGTTTAAGTCCTAAAGCACTTAATCTTGTCTTGAGGTCACTGCTGCTGGTCAGTTGCAAGCAACTAATCTTTTCCGATAGCTGTGATGGGAAGAGCACTGCTTTGAACAAACAAAAATCACCGAAAATAAAAAACGCAAATGTCTTCACCCAGAATTAGATACGGTCATCTAGACCCTCTATTAGCCCACTCAGCCTTCTTATTCCTAACACCCAGGAAAAAATTCCCTCAGAATTGCCCTCTACCTTTTTTTACCTACTCTTCTTGTTTCTCTGCCCTGACACACTACATAGAATCCGTGAACCTAAATAAATCAGTTGTTTTACTTCCCCTCAAAAGATGTGACCTTCTACTCTCCAAATGGCTTTGACAGTTTTCTCATTTGCTACCTAAGGAAGCTATCAAGAGATACTGACCTTCCGGTTTTTGCCTAAAAAGGAACCCTCAGTAACTATCATGCTTCAGTTCCATTTGTAGTGCTCTTTCTCCCTCTGCCCCAGTCCTCACCTACCTTTTCACCTTTCTTCAGGAACTTTCTACTTAACCCACAGTGCTACGCTACTCGCTACTCTCCTATAACGGAGATTCTTTAAGGCACATCTGACTTCAGCCCCATGGCAAGAAAAAGCACAGGGCCTCCCAGACTACTTTACTTGCTTCCTATTTAATCAGATTAGTCCCATCACCTACCCTAAGGAGTCAGATTTTGGTGTTCCTGAGCTATCTGTGAAGGGAGGAGAAATTGTCAGATGTCACTTAAAGAACCCTGTCTCCCGGACACCCGGGAACTGCAGAAGGAAATTAATCTTCTAGCTATTTAAGGCAATTTCTTTTCCATCATCCTTTGTCAAGAGGACTGCACTGGGAAATGAATCTGATGAGAGTCCCTGAACTGGTATACTCTACTCAATGGCATCTCTCCAATGCTATGCAGCATCCATCATCCCCACACAAGTAGAGACATGGTATCACTGCAAACCTAACTTTCCACCAGTACCCAGCAACCAGAAATCACAAATGCAAACAGTAGGTAACACTGGGCCAAAAGACTTGCAGTTTCCCCCTACCTTGGCTCTGCTCTATTTCCAGAAAACCTATCACAAATAGTTATTTCCTGCTAAATGAGTTATCTGTGTTTGATACAAGAACTCAGAAAGGCAGAGGAACAGGAATATGTCAGCGCAGAAGATAAAGACCCTGCTGGTGCAGAACAGGTGCTTACATTAAACATCTAGACCAGTTTCGAAGCAAGGTTGTAAGGCAGAAACAAGGCAAAGGGTAGTGAATCCTCTTCTTTCTTTCTCTTCATGTGCCGAGACTGGAGTCATATAAAGGAACTGCAAGGATTTACCAGGGTAGTGATGTTCAAATTGTGTTCCTTGGGGTTACAAGAAAGTACCAGGGAGAATGTGTTGTATTGTAGGGAGTTTTGTTTTTCTTAAGTTTTAATGTTTAGAGAGATCTGTAGAGCAATGTCTTGTGAGGAGGATGACTATACCAGTGCCTCTCCTGCAGCTAACCATTTGCTGAGAGTTTACACAGAGGATGCCGCATGGTTCCTGCCTGGGTCTGCTGTAGATAACTCTGGGTACCCACCAGCAGCTCTGACTTTGGGCTCCTGAGGCTTCAGCAAAATGAATATCCTTAGGCTCCAGTCATTTGTTTTCCAAACACTCATCTGTGATCTCACTAATTCCCAATTTCCCTGCATTTGACAAATGCAATTAACAAGCCCCGATCACTTTCTGGCAGACAGCCCTCATTAATCAATAGAAGACTGAACAAAGCTGAGGGGGAAGGGAAGGTACAAGAAGAGACGGTAGGCCCAGTCCAGGGAAGGCAAGGACTTAGCCCTTCTAGTTCTAGGAACATCCCTTCCATCTCAAAACCTGACAGTGGATTGGCATCTTCGCCCATCACTTTCCTTCTTCTTGCTAACTAAACACAAGGCAGTACTGTTTATACCTTCCTCTCTCATTTTTAAAGGTTTCCTCCCATCAACCTCCTCCACCTACCCTGTCTTTTGTTTAACAGAAGGCCTTACCATCTGCTGCTTCCAAACTTGGGCACCACTTCAGTGTTAGGTGTGATAAATCCCTGCTCCCAGAAGACCCTCTTCCCCACCCACACATTCCATTGACAATTCTGTGCTGCTTCCTGCCCAGGAGGCAACGTGCCTACCATCATCCCAGTCCACCCCACCTACACACCCACATGGGAGTACCAAAAGGACAAGGATCACTAAGCTTGGGGTTACTCCTTTCATTCACCTCTTTTTCCAAGGCCCAAACCTTCCCTTCCCAACTGGTTTAAAAATTAAGCTTTACCCCTTTCACCTTTCTGCTCTGCCTGTAGTCTCAGCCTCTTCTCCCCCACACCCCCACACAGGGTGAGAGCTTTCTCCTCTGCAGCCCTGCCTGCTACAGCTCTGTGCATCTTTCCACCTCATCAACTTTTCATCTCTTTGCAAACTGAATCGGGAAGTCTCTCCCACCTCCCTGCCTCTCTCCATCTCCTTTGTTATTAGCTTCATAAGTGGGGACGTTAATGTATTCACTACACAATGTTTTCACACCAATGTTTCCTATAATTACAGTCACTTCCCTCCCACTGTCCCGGCTTATTTAGCTGTAAAGTGCTTGGGGGAAGGAGGGGTGGACAAAAGACACAACACAGGCTGAGGTCGAGTAGTGTAATGTTAACAGCCAAGAAAGTAAAACAAATAGCTTCCTCTGCAGTTGCTCATTTACAACTGGTAACACATAAAGGCCAATGCACATGAGCTATTAGACAAAAAAAGGACCAATACAATTAGGGACCGTCTCCACTACAGGATGGGGTGTTGTGCTCTTATTACCAATGACAGTCACCCCAAGAAATGCAAACAGCCACAGCCACCTTCCTTCAGGGAGCAGATCCACTATACTTATCATGTAGCTCAGCTACATTGTCACTGGACACTCGGATCCAGCCATCCTCTCGGACATGGTAGAGGTTAACCACACCTCCTGAGTAGGCATCTCTGTAGGTGGCTTGGTAGATGGCACGTCGGGCTAGGTCATAGGCTTGTTCCACTTCTAGGTCATAGGAGTAGCCCCTATCCATGACCCCATAGGCATACACAGAGCCAGAACCTACAGAGAAGGTGGCCCCCGAGATCCGGTTCCCTTCACTGTCGACATAGTAGAGGCCTGAAAAGAGAGAGAAGGTTAGCAGGAGTAAAAGGACCACTCTCCTTTGGCATCCTTCAAGGAAGTGGTAGTTCTCCATGCCTCTCAAAACACAGAGGACACCAACAGAAGTACCAGAAAACAGAGCTACTATTTAATATATAACTACTATATAGTAAATATTATAAAATCATTTTTAAAAAGCTAAAAGAAAATTGAATATTAAGCTTTTAGGATTCTTCAACAAAGTACCCTGTCTCACCTTACATTAAAGTAACTACCTTGCCTATCTTCTCTGTAGACCAAAAAGCAAGGATAACCTACAAGATTTAGGCTTCAAACATAGAACTAGGCATTGTGGGAAAAATCCTAGGCCTTTTTTAAAGTTTAGCTGACCTGGGATAAGACATAGTTGTGTGTGTGGGGGGAGACCCACAGGAACACACAGACGCCAACATCTAGGATAGCTCAGTCAATAGGCATAACAATTCTGACTCATAGTGACTCTGTATGGGGTTTTTGAGGCTTTACGTCTCTGTCGGAGCAGAAAGCCTTATCGTTTTCCCTTGGAGTGGCTGGTAGGCTCAAACCATCGATCTTGTGGTTCATATGGAGCCACCGCGCTTCCAGGTGGAGCCTGGTTACAATCGACAATTTTGACCATAGATGGTACCAGACAGAGTGGGAGGAAAATACAGAATAAAACTCAAATTCCTAAGAGACCAGACTTATTAGTCTCATACAGAGTAGTGGAACCCCAAGTAGTGGCCCTTAGATACTCTTCATAGACTGAAGTCACTCCCGAAGGTCCCCTTTCAGCCACATAAGACAGGCCTATAAAACAAACAGTATTACATGGGAGGAGAATGTTCCTCAGAACAATCAATTATATGAAATCAAAGGAGAAGCATTATTCAACAGCAAAGTTTAAAAGGCAGGAAGGGACTGAAAAACTGGCTGAACGGAACCAAGGAAGCCACGGTGCAAATGGGGAGAGTGCTGAAATATTGTGGGAACTGCAGTCAGCGTCACAGAACAAGATGTTTCGGAACTGCTGAATGGAAAATTTATCTGCTCTGTAAACTTTCACCTAAATCACAAAAAAACACACCTTTTCTTTTACTTTTAAAACATAGATAATATAAAATGTTAAATTATATTTATGGTTCCCATTATATTTGGTGGCACAAGAGTTAAGCATGTGGCTGCTAACCAAAAGGTCAGTAACTGGACTCCACCAGCTGTACAGTGAGAGACAGCTGTGGCAGTTATATTCTGTACTACAGGGTCACTAGGAGTGAGACTTGAGCAGCTAGCAACAGGTTGATATTTGTATTGGACTGTTCTGGTACAAAGATCAGAGGTCAGCCCAAACCAACCACCTGAGTTTGTAAATGTAGCCTAGTGGGAACACAGACACATCTGTGTTTTTGTGCAAAATTAAATATTTTGACAAAGACTGTATGGCCTATAGGTCATACAGTCTTTGAGCCATATAGTCTTTGTCAAACTATTTGTGGCTTACGGAGTTCTGGCGTGGCGCTGTGGGTTAACGTGCTGAACTGCAAAGTCAGTTTGAATCATTAGGTAGGCAGTTCAAGCTCACCAGCAGCTCCTTAGAAACCCTACAGGATCACTATGGGTCAGAACCAACTCGACGGATTTAACAACTATTGAGTCCTAATGTGACAATTTAGAATAAGCACTAGACTGCTAACCACACGGTTGTCAGTTCAAATCCCCTAGCTACTTTTTGGAAACCCTCCCTACATAGGGTCGATAAGTCAGAACCTAAAACAATTAACTGGCTTTTTTTGAAAAGTTTGCCGACCTCTAGTATAGAGCCAAGAAAATTCAGAAAAAAGTTTAATAAATGTTTTTCAATTTCCAACTGCCTGCTTGTTGTTAAGTGCTATCGAGTGAGTTGGTTCCAACTCATAGGGACACTGTACAGGATTTCTGAAGAGCAGCTGGTGAGTTTAAACTGACAACCTTGTGGTTCACAGTCCAGTGCCTATCCTACAGTACCACACCAAGAGTCCTGGTCCCCTCTAATTAGATGTCTTTGTCAAGTTCAAAATTCCAAATCTGAATCCTGTCCTCAAATACTTCGGTGGTTCTGTTACCTATCAAGCACAAACTCCTACTTGCTTGTGTGCTCAAATCCTGGCAATGACACCACCAATATTTTTTTTCTATTTCAGGGGTTCTCAACCTTCACTGTGCGCATCAGTCACGTAAAGAAACTTTTTTAAAGTGCCTAAGTCATAACTCAGAGTCCTACTGTGGTGCTGTAGGGTAAGCAGTGGAATGCTAACTGCAAGGTTGGCAGTTCAAACCCATTTCTTAAAAACCCTATACTGAGTCGCTATGAGTCAGAACTGACTAGATGGCACTTAACAATAAAGTCTTAACCCAGGTTATATTTCAGTTGGTTTGGGGTGCGCAACAAGAATGGGAGTGTTTGTTTAAAAACCTTTAGCCAAGCTGAGATCCAATGCCTGTATGTTTTCAAGTTCAGATGATTCTAATGTCGGACCCAATGCTTTCCCTATCCCCACGCCTCAATCTCACTGCCACTACCTTGGCACTTTCAGTATTCTCGTTTGAGTTGTGGTGTTGGAGGAGAATACTGAAAGTGCCATGGACTGCCAAAAGAACCAATAGGTCTGTTTTGGAAGAAGTGCAGCCAGAGTGCTCCTTGGAGGCCAGGATGGCTACGCTTCGTCTCTCATACTTTGGACATATTGTCCGGAGGAAACAGTCGCTGGAGAAGGATGTCATGTTGGGTAAGGTGGAGGGTCAAAGAAAAAGAGGAAGACCCCTAAAGAGATGGATTGGCCAGGTGGCATCATTGATGGACTCAAGTGTGGCAGCGGTAGTGAGGCTGGCCCAGGATCGGACATTGTTTCGTTCTGCTGTGCATGGGGTCACTATGAGTCGGTTCCGACTCGATGGCACCTGACAACAACCTTGCCTGTGTGACTCACCATCTGGCCCTAATTTACCTTTCTGGCTCTTTATTCACCCACTTCAAGCTCTGGTAGTGTAGTGGTTACTAGTCAGGCTACTAACCTCAATGTCAGCGGTTCCATGGGAGAAAGGTGAGGCTTTCTGCTCCTGTAAAGATTTACAGTCCTGGAAACCCTGTACAAGGTCACTATGAGTCGGAACCGACTCCATGGAACACCACCACGACTCACCCACTTCACACACCCTTAGTAGGATAAACACTAGCTTGCTAATCGCGAGGTCTACAGTTCAAACCCCTATATAGTATCACCATGCATTGGAACGCAGTCAATCATGTCTAACTAAATCTGTGATCTTTCTCAGTTAGCTTTTTGAGGCAAGGAGCAGAGTCATACCAAATAGAATGGTGTTGTCAGGAACGCTTCTTGAAGAAAGCTTTCCAGATGTCCCTTGGATATGTCCCTTCCTGATATGTCTGGCTCCCTGGATGTCCCTTGCGAGTCAGTCTCTGTGCTCTTAGGCTGTTTCCGTCACCTCAAACAAACCCAATAGCTAAGGTATATTGGTGTGCATTTTTCAAAGCGACATTTCCAAAATGCTTCCCTGGATCAGACAAGATGCATGAACTGTTCTTTTATACATTTCAAAGAGCAAATGCTTCTACTTTCAAAGTAACAAGTGAGCTATTCTCTCACATCTACTTTTTAATCTCTTCATTGACTCTCTAGGAGTACTGAACTGACCCTTTCTATACCTCTTCCTAGCCTACTCCAAAACATGTGAAAAAGTGGTAGGAAACCTATGGGAATGCTACAGGCTAACTGGACATTCAGCACGCTGTTGTTAAGTGCCATCAAGTTGGTTCCTGTAATACAGTGGATATGCTATACATGAAAAGAAACAGGTGAAATTAATTTTAAATAATTTAATCCAAGGGAGCCCTGGTGGCACAATAGTTAAGGACAGAAAAGAAGTGAACCCTGGGAGCCCCAAAGGTCTCTTTTAGGCCAAAAATTCTATGATGGAAAAAAGGGAGAGAAAATGATGAACTTTTGAATGTGGGAGCTCTGGTAGCATAGTGGTTACGAATCAGGCTGTCAGCTGTTTGAAACTACCAGCTGTTCCGCGGGAGAAAGACGAGGCTTTCTGCTCCCGTAAAGATTTACAGCCTCAGAAACACTGTATAGGGTCGTTATGAGTCAGAACCGACTCCACGGCACATAAGAAGAAGAAGAACAATACATATTAAACTTCACTGTCTAATACATTGAACGCTCTCTCTCTCACTGTCATTGAGTAGATTCTGACTCATAGTGACCCTGCATAGGGTTTCCAAAGCTGTAAATCTTTACAGGAGCAGACAGTCTCATCTTTTTTCCTCTAAGTGGCTGGTGGGTCTGAACTGCCAAGCATATGATCAGCAATCCAGTGCTTATCCTACAGCACAACCAGGGTTCCTCACAGTGGACACTATCCACATACATTTGGAAAAAAAACCCAAAAAACTCCTTCCTTTTTTTTTTTCTAGTCAATTCCAATTCAGTGGCCTTATAGGCCGAGGAGAATGGCCCCATAGTTTCCACAGCTGTAAATCTTTATGACGATTTCCACACTTTTCTCCCAGAGTAGCTAGTAGATTCAAATCACTGACTTTTCAGTTAGCAGCTAAGTGCTTAACTGTGTGCCGCCAGGGTACCCTTGGATTAAGTTAAGATTAATTTCACCTGTTTTCATGTTTATACTATGTCCATTAGAAAAAAATTAAATGACATACAACGGTGTTTCAAAAGTTCCAGAAAAAAATCCCATTATCTTTCAATTCCATTTTTCCACAAACTTTCTGAAGCCCCCCACCTCTGTATCACCCAATTTTCAAACACAATTCTTTATGTTGTTAAGTGTCACTGAGTTGGTTCCGACTCATAGTGATCCTGTATAGGATTTCCAAGTAGCAGCTGTTGGGTTTGAACCACCAACTTTGAGCTTTAAAACAACCTTGAAGTTCAGTGCTTTTCCTATCCTGTCAAACCATAACTCTTTATAAGTCTTAACTTTCTATGGGAGAGAAGATAGAAGGAAACATTATATGCTAGATGCTTTACCTTTAGTATTTCAATTAACCAATGTAACAGATGAAGAAACCAGCTGAGTGAATAAACAACCTGCCTAAGATCACAGAAAGGAGCTCTGGTAGGGTAGTGGTTACGAGTCTGGCTGCCAACCTTAAGGTCAGCAGTTCGAAATTACCAGCTGTTCCGTGGGAGAAAGATGAGGCTTTCTGCTCTCGTAAAGATTTACAGCTTCAGAAACCCTGTGCAGGGTCACTATGAGTCGTAACCGACTCCACGGAACTTAACAACAACAAAAGGTCACAGAGATAGTCAGTGACACTGCTGGTCTAACTTCACACCCTTTCCTACAAGACTGTGCCTTCCTTGAACAAAGAATGGCTAAGAACCTAATCAACACATCCTTAAACGCTGGCACAAAGCCATTTCATTTATCTGTTCATTCAACTCTTTCTCTGTGGTTGCAGTTTAACTCACCAGGGCCTCTCTTATCCCAGCCACAGATCATGGTGCCCATTGACAGTCCCATGCCTTTGTACTGATACACCATGTTGGCTAGCAGCTTGGAGGCTGCTGCTACAGAGATGCGTTCCTTGTTTCGAAGTTCATAGATGCGACACTGCCGAGCCAACAGCCTCTCCCAGAAGCTACAATCTGCTGCACCACCAGCCATGGTGCCCAGCAGGTAAGGGTTGATCTCGATCACTTTCTTCACCGTTTGGGAGGCAATGTAGGCACCGGCCGTGGCCCGCGAGTCCACTGCAACGATGACTCCATGGCGAAACTGTTAAGAGCACAGGAAAACACAGAGCAGGCCACATCAGACCACACACATCTGACATACCTTTTTGCATCAATGCAAATCCAGCACATCTTTCTCCGTCATTTTATACTTACATACTTGCCCAAATATTAATGTCACTTTGAGCGTCACATTAATCTCCTGGTATGGGTAGCCTCGTTTTACATATCAGAAAACGAGTTCGATTAAATTAAATGACTTGCCCAAGTTCCTAGATCTAGTTTGTAAGAGTTGAGTCAGGGACCCCAACGGTCTGGCTTCTAAGGCTGGTTCTCCCTTAGCGTCACTAAACTTCTCCCTTTAAGAAGCAGAGGAACCGCCCTGTTACCAAAACCTTTGGGCAATGGTCACAACAACCTTCCTTTTTCCAAAGTTCTTTTCCTCTGCTACGTCCCCTTATCCGGCTGGGAACATCTAAACAAGAGCAGCTGGGGTTCATCTAGGAAACAAACCCATCAGCCTTCGGCTCCTTTCCTCACTTACCACCAGTCCTCTCCTCCCTCTCTCCACCCCGCTCCCCAGGGCAATGAGACAGCTAAATCGCCGGAATCGAGATCGGAGAACCGAGACCTTGCCAGCGTTTTGCGCGCTAGACTGCCGCGGGTTTCCGACCAGCTGTGAAGCCAGTAGGGGCGCGAACACTAGGGATTTACACCGGCGTGGCGCCTGGGTCCGCACCTTGAAGGCCAGGGTGGTGGTTCCATGAAGCATTTCGATTCCTGGCTCCTCTGGGACACCCCATTTAGGCGCTGCCAGATGCAGTTCATCACTGGAACTCCCTGGACCCAAGTCCAGCAGATCCGCGCGACCCCCGAGTCCGAAAAACCCGCGTTGGTTCACCGGTAACGGCCTCTGCAACACGCTAGCCAGCGCCATGTCTAGTGAGGGCAAAAGGAACTCACGCCGAGGGAAGAGTAACCGGGCAACGCCTCGCCGACACAACTTCACTTCCTATTAAATTTATTTCGTCTAGAAGCCATTTTGACTCCTGGTAGCCGCGCCTCCAAATAAAAGCGCCAAAGGCAAGGGCTAAATTTGACTCGAGGAATGGGAATTGGGGAAATGGCCTCATTATCCTTAACTTTTAAAAGTCTGTGGCTCAAATTCTTGACGTTGGTCATACAAGTAGTACTGAATCAGATTAACCTTAAACTCATAAAAGGTGATTGGGAACGTTTTTGGGAAGCGAGTGACGTGATGTCGGCCATCTTTGAGAAGGGCGTGACTCGTTAAAAATCGGCTGAGATCCTTTAGGGATAAATCGCCTCCCTCCCTACCCTACAAGTTCTATGTCCAAGCAACTCTCTAAATCTTAACTGCTTTAGCAACACCCTATTAAAGGGTCTGAGGTTGCCATTTTGTTTGAATGCACCTCTAATAACAATCTTCTCTGAGCAATGGCCTCGCGGTAGTGGCGGAGGGAGTTGTAGACCACACCGGGTGACATCAAATTAACGCTATGAAATTTTTGTGCAGTGTTTAAGCAGAATTTTATTTATTTATTTTGTTAGAATAACCCTGTAGTTAAAATAACAAAAACATTTTTCATAGACCCAGCTTCTTAAGTGCAGTCCAGTTAGTTCAAACCCATTGTTGTTGGGTGCCATGGAGTCGGTATGGACCCATAGCGACTTTACACACAGCAGAACTAAACGTGTTGCCACGTTTGAGCCCATTGATGCTGCCACTTTGCCAATCCATCTTGCTGGGGGTCTTCCTCTTTTTCTCTGACCTTACCAAACATGCTATCTTTCTCCAGCGACTGGTCCCTCCTGACAATATGTACGAAGTATGAAACCCATAGTGACCCTCTATAGGGCTTCCAAAGGAGCTCTGGTAGCGTAGTGGTTACGAATCGGGCTGCGAACCGCAAGGTCAGCAGTTCAAAACTACCAGCCGCTCCGCAGGAGAAAGAT